CCACTTTTGACTAGAATTGAACAAGTTTTTTCTCATGCTTTAACCACAACACTTTGGTAATTTCAGTTACAGCCTGCCATTTCCACTACTATTTGTGTTTGTTTGCTGAGAAGCTGTTTTTGACTATTTTATATGATTGATGTAAGCAGAGAAGCATCTTATCTAAGGCCAAGATTCCTTCGCTGTATTATGCTCAAATAAGCATTTTTTACAACACTGATGCAATCGGTGGGGGGGGTGAGGGACACAGGGAGGAGGAGGTTGTTGAGGAATTAATAGAAACCAGGAAGAAGAGGAATTAAGTCACAAATAAAAACTCTCTCCTCCAACAAAATTTCTGTAAGAAATCATAACTCTACCATCACCTGCCCCCCTTGAATTCACAGCATTCCAGACAAGCGTTGCATCTTAAATCAGCTGAACATATAATAAAATTAGCTCTCCAGGAAAGCTAATAAAGCAATGGACAATAAATAGCGTGGAATTAGAGAACAACAAGGAGAAAGCAAATGCCGATGACATAAGTAACACCACGGTGAAAGCTAACGGAAATTTATTCTTTTATTGATGTGTTCATTTAGCACATAGGAGAAAAAAACACTACAGCACAGTAATTAAGAAAAACTACTGAAAAATACTTCAGTAAATTAAGAAACATCAGTAAATGAGTGTATTTTTTTATTCCATGATAATTCAAAAATTGGTTTTGATGTTAAGCATTGTCAGATCATCAGCAGTATCAAGGCAACTATGAATTATTGAAATTATTGAACTGAATTTAAATTATTACAAAAACGTATATATGCTTTAAAACAACACATTCATTGTTCACTATTTACATTTATACTGCAAGAGTAGAAGAGGTGTATTTTTTCTGCAACAGCAGAAAAAAATTGTCATGTATTTCTCAGGAAAAATTAAAAAAAAAACCCACAGGATTTTACTGCAAAAAAAAAAAAAACACCACATCAGAAATATAAGATCTGAAAACTTTTATGCTAAATGTACCTTCTATACTAGAGCAGTATCTCCCAAGCTTTCGAACTATTAAAAAAACTCCATAAAATCTCTCAGCATCTGGAGCCTAGTTTTTGACACTGGAGTAAAAAAGCAGAAGTAAAAAGAGCCTGTCCAGTTCCAACGACAGCAGAGATGCCAGGGACACAGATTTACAAAGTTAGCACAGAGAGATGGGCACTTTTGCACCAATACAGAAAGAAAATTAACCAGGATCCTGCAGATGCTTTGGCTGCAGTCTCTAGAAGAGACCTTGTAAGGGACCATCTGAGCCACACCTGGATCTAACCATTCCAGGAATTTTCACTTTTAAGAATTCAAGAAATCATCCGTTTCAGAAAGAAAGGACACTGTGATGGTGAGTACAAAATTTTCACTATCAAATTATAGTAAATATACTGCTTTTTCATTAAAACTTGTGCCAGAGCAAGTTTATTAGAACACAAGACATGTAAATCCTATCGTAAGGCCTCTTCCTGAAAACTTTACTGCAGAGGGTACTGTTCTTAAGATGTGACAAGTAACAAAAAAATCCATACAGAAAAAAAGGATTGTTTTTCCCTAACATAATGTTTCTGAAGCTGCAGTGAACTTTAAATTTATTTCTTCCAAATTATAAAATACTAAATAAAAAATATATATACTAAAAGCTGAATGTCACACACCTCACAGTCTTCCTAGGAATTCAAAATCAGCTGGTAGCCTTCACTTCTCATACCTCCTTGCTAAAAAAGCACTAGGGAATTGCTGACAGGGTTCAGCATTGTGCAGAATATTAAATATCTTTTTTGCAATACCCTGGTGACTCTTGAGTCTGTCTCTTACAGCACCATATGTACAGCTGTGTTGGAAAGAGGAAGCTATTAAATATATTAAAAAGTAGAAATATTACCAATAGACACTTCATCAAATAACTGGATCTCATTCATCCCCAAACAAAGCAAGAAATGTTAAGGTTACATCAACATGAGAAAATAACTCTGGATTTAATAACACCACAAGACTGTTGAACATATTTGAAATTAAAAACATTGCTTAATAAAACAGATTAGTGTTTCTGAAACAATGAATATAGCTTTCAACCATCAGAATGCTTTGGTAATAAAGACATTGGACTTGGTCTTGAAAGGCACTGGGTATCTCAGTTCCCACACCACAGTCACGGCTACAAGGTCTTCAAGTCCAAATATATTACGCTTAGTTTACTGCCAACACAGGACTAGGACTTTTGTATCAAAAAGGATTTATTAAAAGGAGAATAAGAAGGAGTGTTTTGTTTGAGATCGCATTTGCAAATATATTCTTGAAAGTTTGCCCTCCTCCCACATACACATACAAATATTGCGTCCACATCCCCAACTAATGCTTAAAGAAGTCAGCAACAACACACACACAGTCCATGAAGGCATACAAGTAGACAACCATGACCTCTTTTCAAAAACTTCTAAACACTTAAGGACTCTGAAATATTTTTTCAAAAATTACTTCCAAAAGGGACATTTTCTAGGTTTCTAAGCAGACACTGATAGGAAAAATGGAGTTTCAGTAGTTTCTAATTCATAAGAATTTAAATTGACATTAAGTGAGTATGTGCTGCCAAAAAATCTCGCTAACCGCCCATCCGCACTTTTACACGTATGTAAGACTTTTACAAGTACGGCTGTTCGGCTCTAGAAGCCTAACACCCATCAACTTTTCATAAGACTTGCAATCTTAAATGCTCAAGTAACTTCTGAAAAAAAGGACTTGGGCTGTTCGTAAAAATTTCCCTATAGGCCCCCATCTTCTGCAGTACAGCTCGCAGGCAGAGCGCAGCTTTCTCAGGGAGCGCTGGTAACTTCAGCAGTGGTCTAGGGAAGCACCACTGCACCTTTACATTGTGAGAGAGGAACTCTCTCACACTTCAGAGAAAGAAATGAAAAAATAAAGAACACTTACAAAGCCCTGCTAAGCACAACCTCATATAAAAATTCCAAGAGATATGAATGTTTATTTAACTATCACAAGGACTACGTTAATTACCCCACTTACAAATTTTTGCAATAATTTTGTAAGATTCCAGTAGTACTTTTGCTAAAATTGGTGCAAAAGCATTACAGTTCCCCAAAGGGAGAATAAGTTTTGTTACTCACAGTAATATATAATTATTGCATAATATAATATTGTGATTATTGAATAATATATGTATTTTCCTCCAGTTTCTGAATACATAATTCCACCTAGACTTACAAAGTTTTTACAGTTAGTAGTGTTTCTACTAGATTCATTCACCGTTTCTTCTGAAGAGCAGTTAGGTGTTTAAACTAAAGTGGTTGCCTATGACTTGCAACATAATTACAACTAGTGATTAAATAATATTTAAGATGAATGTCTAAAGAGCACTGAAAATTCTTGAATCGAGTGTAAACAGAAATTAAGATCCTAAGGCTACAGGCATTACCATGCATTGCATCTAGATAGCTGGTTTGTCCTTAAAAAGATAAGCAATTTTAAAGTGTAACACTTCAGACCACGAACCCACAAGAGATTCTGCACAGGCACATTCTTTCCTATTATACAGTTAGCAAACACATTGCTTTGATAAAATTTTAGTTTACAAAAAAAACCCAAAACACCAGGGTAAAGACAGCTTTGACCTGTCTTTGGTGCTCCGTCAACCTCAGCCACTGCACATAAGCTGGACCAGGTTTTGAGATGGTTTCTGCAGAAGCAGTTGTCTGATCAACAAGACCTGGCTGGTGTTGCTGAACTATTTTCCTCCTCCAGCTGCCCTCTTGGACTCTGCTGGAGGTTCACACCTCCCCAGCACAGTGACAAATGACGTTAGCCTCTTAGACACTTTGATGCAAAGTCCAGCATCTTACCATAGACCCACCATCACTCACAGCAGAAATACCAGATTTTAACAGCTGAGATTTGGACACGGGAGCCTTTCTACTCTACTGAACAGACACTGAAGGAGAAAAGGCACCTGAGGCAGGAATGTTTTAACCACTGCAGGAAGATTTATCAGTGCTCATACATCACTGCCTACATACAGCTAGCTTGGAGGCCTCCATGCTGTTCTTGGACCACTTCTGTGGTGCCTGCAGTATGCTTACACCTACAGTTTATCCCCATACACTTTGGAGGATAAATTACACTGGTACCAGACATCTTTGTGCAACCATGTCCTCACTAGAAATTATAAACATTTTTTACCAATTTGGTTGAAAAACCCAGAGATTTAGATACGTTTACAGTTCAGCCTAATAAATCGCTGTGATGATTAAATTTTTATCTTTTTTTTTTGCATTCTAGTGCCAGAATTTGCTGGCAAACATCAATTTTATTTGACAAGGTTAGGCAGGCAATGATGGAGGCTACAAACAGAGCAGAAATTTCTCTCCAGTCTTCTCTGTTGAGGCCTGCTGCCCAGAGCAGCCCGCAGGATTGCGGCCCAAGACTAATCAGGATCAGAAAAGCACTGCTGCTGTGGTAAGCCTTCATTAAGTCACAGTTCATTGATCACGAAAACATAAATACAAAATATTTAAAGATGCTCGGTTACAGCAATTCAAGGAAAACATTTTCAAAGAGCTTAACGCCACCAAGCTTCAAGGGAGCCTGAGTCTCATATATGGTCAAACTGAGGTAGGAGTTGAATGGGGATATGGCCTTGAGCAGAATGAAGAAAAATCTTTAGAAAAACAGACCGTAATGAGTTCATGTTGCACACAAGAATTTGTCAAAAAATGTTAATGTTATTGACAGTCCTTCCCTGAGCAGTGTGAACAATGTGATTACAGTAAACTTCCCTCTGGAAGAGGCCAGGCCACAGTGACATAACTGTACAGTTAGGGGCTTTGAACACATCACAGTAGAAACAAACAATTTCATTTCAAAGTACACTGACAGCAAAGGCTACTATTTCCCACCCTGCCCAAGCGCAAGCGTACAAGGAACACAAATTATAATGAAAAAAACCAACAGCCATCACTTACTCTGTCTTCCGTCTTTGCTTGTCCTCGAATATATCATTCAGACTTATGGCCACCTGTCCCAAAAACTTGTCCAGCCCCACCAGCGACCTGTGCATGACGATCAGGTACAGGATGTATTTTTCTGGATTCTCCTGCATGAGTAATCCAGGGAGCTCGAAGGAGGCCTCTTCTTTCCAGACGGGATCCAAGGTCTTCTCGGCCACCGAGGTGGAGTACTTCTCCTTGCCCAGCTGTATGATGGTGTAGGCATCGTTGCTGCCATTTTTACCTTTGGGCTTCAGACCTTTGGCTTGAAGGACCGTAACCTGCACGTGAGTTGGGAACCACTTCTGGGCTTGCTCTGACAGCATCATCTTTGAAGATTGCAGCAGCAGCAATAACAAATACAAAGTCTCTTAATTCTTCCAGTTCCTTCGTAAGGCCACTTACGGCGGAGACACCTGTCAGGGGCCCGGCGCGGCCCTTCCTCCAGCGCTCCTGCCCGCGGCCGGCACCCACCCGCC